GGACGACAAAGATGAGTGCTGAGGTGTGGCTGGTCCGAGCCAGGGCACTTCCAATCACTTCATAAGCATGTGAAGGCTGGACACAGAGTCAAGACGACTGCAAAGTGATGGCGCGAACACTCAATGTACCAGGCCTTCCCAAAGAATGGACACATTCCCATTGTCAGGACCACAGCCAGAACGCTCCCAAGAAGCGAGGGTGGTGAGACTGTCTCAGGTACTATGGAAATGCTGGAGGAGGACATCATGCTGAGTGAAACCAAGGGTCAGCAAAAGAGAGGCAGCCCCTCGATGAGGGGGATGGACACAATGGCTGCCACCTGGACTCAAACACGGCAGCAATGGTGAGGGCAGGGAGGACCAGGCTCGAGTCTCATTCGGCTGACGGAGGGTCGGAGAGAGCCAGTGGTATCTGATGGCAACCACATGCTATAATGTGCATATTATAAATTCAAAACTCACTGCCTTTGGGTCCGTGCTAATGCCCAGTGACTCCATAGGCCAGGGCAGAACTAACCCTATTGAGTTTCCGAGACTAACTCTTTATGGGAGCAGAAAGCCCCATCTTTCTCCCATGCACATTATGGGTAGAGAAATTTTAAAAGCGCATGTAAAGAATTCCCCACTGAGACACAGTGTGTATGCACACGCGGGCACACATTCACTGAAGAGCGGCATTAGAGCTTGCATTGTTCTAGAACAGCTGGAAGGCTGTGGGGCTTTGAGCCCGCTGGAGCACTCGGGAAGCTCTGCTCACCTCTTTGGCTATGGTGGTGATGAAGGCGGGCGGCCTGGCGGTGGCAATGAGGGAGAGGGCGTGCCTCGCTGAGCGGGCTGAGTCAGCTGCTGGGCTCAGAGGAAGCCCTGTTGTGATGCTAAACAGGGATCAGAAAAAAGGGAGAGAGAAAAGCAGCATTAGAAATATAGACTGAAAAGATTAGACACAGCTTATAATGTCAGTTCAAGGTCAATGGGAGCACTCACACAGTTAGAATATAATGGACTTGCAACAATGAACAGTGATTAGGAGTCAGGGTGTTCTGGCATCAAATACAAAATCGAATAATTAACCGTGAAGATTGGAAACAGTATGTGCATCTGTCCAAAGTGTTAAAAAGGCCTTGTTAACAAATTATCAAGAACCAGCTCGGAATACTTATTACGAAGCTCAGCATAAACCAGGGCACCGCTTGTGCTGGGTATTTTCAAAGTTTTTCCTAAAAGAAAGTAAATGAAAGACAAAAACTTGCCTAGAAGGATATATTTACAAGACTGTGTTTCTGAAAGCAAGCACATGTGCGGGGGGAGGGGTGTTTAGAAGCACATTGCTGTCCATAAAATTCAAAACTGTGAGAATGCTATCCCTGTTTTTAGTTCATCTATTGCTTTTTGTTTGAAATACCCCTGTCACTGCTGGTGTGCCCTCCACTCAGTGTTCTCAAAGCCACGCTACTCATCACCAGGCTCTGCCAGGCATTATTTAGTGCCAATTAAAAAAAAAGTACACATGTATGACATCATTCAGACTATGTATACAATTAGGTACATGGTGCAATAAAACTTCCCCAAAAATGAGATCACAAGGGGTCGGACAAGGTAAACCTAGTGCCACTGAGCTGATTCCAACTCCCGGTGACCCCGTGCACAGGGCTTCTGAGGCCACCAATGTTGACAGGAGCAGACAGGCACATTTTTCTCCCACAAAGTGGCTGGTGGGTTTGAACTGCTGACCTTTTGGTTAGCAGTTCATAGCTCACACAATAGTGACTCCAGGGCTCCTTCACAGGGCAGTGATGTCATATTCCTATGTCATTGCTAATACATAAAAATGATCCATCTTCTGTCTCTTAGCTTCATTTTATCTGGGCAGCACTGTCAAAGGCATTGAGATTTTCATTACAGGGTGGCATGTGAGCCCACATGGTAAATGTAACGAAGGTGTGTTTAGTTACTCAGTATGTGATTATCGCCTAAGTCTGTCTAAATGATTTTGTTATTTTAAATGTACATATGACGTGAAAATGGCGAAACGTCCTCTCACACACCTTGGACATGTTAGCAGGAGACCAGTCCCTGGAGAAGAACACCATGCTTGGTAAAATGCAGGATCCCCACCCCCACCCCCCCAAAAAAAAGACTTTCAATGAGATGGACACAGAACGAATTCAAACGTAACAATGACTGGATGGTGCCGAGCTGGGCACTGTTTCGTTCTGCTGTGAGTTGACACAATGGCGCCTAATAAATGTACGGAGGTTATGCCAAAGCTTCCTGGAGTCCATGACACGTCCTGTGTGAACCGGAATATGCTTACAAAATGAAAACAAAACAAAAGCTGGTTTCTCTAACTGATCCAGCCATCATCGTTCTGACTTTCTGATGAAAGCAAAAATGCATTACATCGCTTTTCATCATAGCTTAGGAGAGGTCAACTGCTTATAAAATTTCTGCTCCTAATGTCTTGGCGACAGCAACTGCTGCATGCCTTTGGCCACTAACAGAAAGGGTCTCTTTCCTTCCCACCTGCAGGGAGGATGGAATCTTACAAGGAAGCTGCGATATGTGAGCACACCCTAGTAACTGATCCAAGGGGGCAGCAGGCTTCCCCAGGGGACCACCGATGCTGCCTGCCCTCAGCGGGCACTGGGCAAGCTGTGCAGTGGGATCACATCAGTGCGTGGTGCTGGGGCGGGATGGCCTGATAAAAACGGTGAAGTTTGGACTGCACGCTGTTGTTGTTGAGTGCCATAGCACTGGTGTTGACTCCTAGCAACCCCCCACAGCACAGAACAAACCCTGCCTGGCCCTGCATCCGCCTCACCGTTGGTATGTTTCAGCCACTGTGTCGATCCACTCTGTCAAGTCTTCCTTTTCATACTTGAAATCAAGTTTTAAAAAGAATTTTCCCTAGCGCCTGGAACTATTCAGATGCTCTGTGATGCTTCCTTTCTGTCACCAATGTGGATAAATGGGTGTTGATAATAGTGAAAAGCTAAAACAAACAAGGCTGGTATGTTAATTGGATAATTCTGGGTGAGAAAAACCAAATCCCTAAATCAAATTTGTTGGATCAATAAGATCACGGAATGTTGGGAGTTGACACACATTCCCCACCCCCCACAGGGGCATTTCTGCCAAGCAGTCATGCAGGGAAAGACCTATTGCCCAGGGTCGCCCTGACTGGACAGAGAACCCAAGGCTGGATGCCATGCTCTGCTGAGCTACTTCTGTCCTGTTCCTACCCCAGGATGCCCTGCGAGGTCAGTGGTGTTGGTGGCTTACAAATGAGGGGTCTAGAGAGGCTGGGTGGGGAGCAAGGGAGCTCTGCCATGTCCTACAGGAGCTTCACAAAGTTCTCCGACAAACGGGATGAAAAGATGGAATCGCCCCACAGACTTTTGAAGCCCCCTAATACAGAATAGCCAGCCTGTGAACAGAAGAGAGGGAAGGAGGTGGATTACAGTGGCTAACCGGAGTAAATTGGTACTATGGCTAAACCGAGAAGACAGACGATGGGTTAGACTTCACCCCTAAAAGAAGTTTCTAAGGGTATTGTATTAGTCTAGGTACTTTGGAGAAACAAATCCACAGCAACTCACGTATAAGAGAGAGTTTTATGTAAAGAAAAGGTGCATCATGAAAACATCCCAACCCAATGCTGCCCAAGCCCACAAGTCCAACATTAACCCATTAACCCAACACCAGTCCACAAAGTCCTCCACCTCACAAAACAGAGGCAATGATGCCGACTGCAGGAGGAAAGCTGAGTCAGTGAACGTGTAAGCATCTCAGCACTGGCAAGGGTCTCCACACGGCTGCTCCAGCACCCAGGGCTGCATCGGGACAGATCCATGCGGCTTCTCCTTGGGGATATCTTGTAGGAAGTCAATCTTGCAAGCTGAAGCAGGGAACTGCTAAGGCAGCTGCACCCGATACAACCATCACAAAACAAGAGACCCGAGAGCTAGAAAGGCGAGGCTTCACCACCCATTTATCCCTCCGCCTTTCAACCAGCACCACATGTGATTATCGGCCAGGCTGGCACAATTAACTAACTCAGGTATGCTGCAATACTATGGAGACTTGATGGCATAATGGTTAAGCACTAGCCTGTTAACCAATAGGTTTCTCATCAACAGCTCCGAAGGAGAAAAGACCTGGTGATCCGCTCCCATAAAGACTGTTGTTGGGTGCCGCTGAGAGGGTTCCAACTCATAGCAACCTGGGTTCCGCAGAACGACACCCTGCCTGATCCCGTGCCATCCCTCGCCATGGTTTCCTTTGAACTCGTGACTGCAGCTCCTGTGTCAATCCATCTCTGCGAGGGTCTTCCTCTTTTTCACTGATGGCAAAGATTACAGGTATGGAAACCCCTAAGAGGTAGAGTCCTGTCGCAAATCGGAAGAAAGGTCTGGCAATCTAATCCCATAATGATTATCAAACCAACCCTGGACTTCTTCCGCTTCTGCTCTGCAACTTAACTCATCATGAGCCAGCATCGGCACAGTAGCAAGGAGTGTAGCTCTTGGGGGACAGTTCGATGGAGTTTGACAATGTCATATGTCCACCATTAAAATGTCAACAAACAGGGTTCTGACTGAAAAATGCCGGGGCTCTACCTCTGCACCTGCCTTCACTCATGTACCTTCAGGGGTTTTAGAACGCCTATGCTCCGGAGGCCAGGCAAGTTTCAAGTCCCTGGAGTTCCGGTGTCTTTTTGTGAATCTCAGTGTTCTCCCCCCATCCCTCGCCCTACTGGAGCCCTCTGCTCGGTCCCTTCATTTCCTGTCTTCTCTGCATGGCATTCTGTGGCTGCTGAAACAGTGTGGGAACGAACGACTGCCAAGCTGGCTTGTGCCAGGCCCTCCGAGCCACCATGCCCTGCTGTGCCAGTTTGGCACAGATTGGGGGGAGAGGGGACGGCTGCCTCCGATGGCAGCGAGTCCTGCATGAGTGCCCAGCACAGCCCTTCAGCATATAGGCAGCTCAACAGTTAGGCAGTAAATGAACTTCATCTGGTAAATTCATCAGGAAAAGTTAAATTAAAAAAAAAAAAGAATCCCTCACACTGGCCACTTGACTGAATTGACCGGGCCATGAAGTCAGAGTAATTAATCAGAGGGTCCCCACAGACAGAGTCCAATTCTGATGCTGCAACCTCTGAGGGTGGGAGTGCAGTGTGACGGGCATGCAAATCTAGAGTGAGTCTCCAACTGGACAGAGAAAGGTCTGAGATGGAAGGGGGACCCTCCTTATGGTGGCACCTGGACATCACCAGGGACCTCGCTCTCCACCTGAGGCCACTTATCTGGCTGCTAAGCAGATAATTTGTTGGGAAGGCTTCCATGCGTCTTTATATCACGACATGGCACACTGTCTATCTTACTCAGCACTTCTGGTGGCACAGCCACTATGAAGCATGAGTGATGATAGGTATCAGACACTGATCGCTCACTCTGGCTGAGTTGTCTTCACATGACTGCTGACGGTCCTGTCTCGCCCCTTACTCCATGGAAGTCACCCAAATGCAACTAGTTTGCCATCCAGTCGATTCCAACTCACAGACCCGACAGGGCAGAGTAGAACCGGCCCTTACAGTTTCCGAGATTGTAATTCTTTATGGGAATAGCCTCACTTTCTCTCACAGAGCAGCTGGTGGTTTCAAACAGCCGATCTTGTGTTTAGCAGCCCAATGTGTAAGCACTAGGCCACTAGGGCTCCTCTGTGGAAGTGGAGGCATTTCAAAAGGAACATGTAGCAGCACGCTGGTGGAAAGAGCGCTACAAATGGATACTGGTAGTGGGGGGCGGAGGGAGGGATTTGAACTTCCTCACATAGCCTCCCAGATCTTGGTCAACAGTCACAGGGCATTGAG